AGTCCTGCAAGTCTCAGTGTTAATAAGAAGAGAATAAATTTTAGCTTTCATTACATCATATATTTTGCAATTTCTTTAACAAATTCTCTCAAAATATTTGAAAAGTATACCCAAAAGCCAAAAGAGAACTGTGAGAAACTCTCTGGAATGATTGTAACCTATATATCTGGGCTTTGAAAACACATGCAGTGAAATAGGGAAGTATACTTTCCTTTAAGGCACATTGTAAGAAAACTTTTATAGTTTAGAAAGTTAGCTATGAGTTTAATCCTTTTTGCCTTTTGTTGTTTGTGTAGTCTTGGTTAAACAGTAGATGAAAGTTAAGGTAAGATAGAAGAAGTAGACCAACATTTAGTTTGTGCTAGTAAGATAAAATTTGAAAGTTAAAATTTCAAAAACAACCTAAGAAATTAAAATAGTTAAAAATAGAGTAATCCTGAATATATGTATTATATATATATAAACATAGGATTTTTCACTGTTATTATTTTGATAACATGTATCAAGATAGGCTTATTATTCTTACATGTGTTTAAACCCAGAGTATGCTGTCTGAATTTACAATGACAAAGTAATAGAATATCCACTGAAGAAATAAATATATAAATTCAAAAAACAATGGGAGAGTGAATATTGCTTAGAATGGACAAAAAAAAAAAAAGTAAAAAAGTTACGGTAAGCTAAGGTTAGTTTATTATTGAAGAACAAAAATGTTAAAAATAAATTTAATGTAGCCTAAGTGTATAGTGTTTATAAAGTCTACAGTACTGTACAGTAACATCCCAGGCCTTCATATTCACTCACCATCCACTCACCAGCTCAACCAGAGCAACTTCCAGTCCTGCAAACTCCATTCATGGTAAGTGTCCTATACAGGTGTAACCTTTTTTTTTTTAAATCATTTATACCATATTTTTACTGTATCTTGTCTATGTTTAGATAGACAAATACTTCCCATTGTGTTAAAATTGCCTCCAGTATTCAGTATAGGAATATGCCGTATAGGTTTGTAGCCTAGGAGCAATAGGCTATACCATGTAGCCTAAGTGTGTAGTAGGCTATAACATCTATGTTTGTGTAAGGAACTCTACGATGTTTGTAGGACAAAATTGCCTAACTATGCATTTTTCAGAATGTATCCCTGTCATTAAGCAATGCATGATTATTCTACAAAGCTACAGTAATCACACATTATAAGTTTAGCATAAAAACAAACATATAGACTAATGGATAATATTTACAGTCAACTGTTCTTCAACAAAGGTGCCAAGAACACATAGAGGGGAGAGAGTAATTTCTTCATTAAATGGTGTTGAAAAAACTGGATAACTACATGCAAAAGAATGAAAGTGGGCCCTTATCTAGGACGATTTACAAAAATCAATTCAAAATAAATTAAATACTTAAATATATGAATTGAAACTATAAAACTTCTAGAAGAAAATATCGGGAAAAAGCTTCTTGACATTGGTCTGAGCAATAATTTTTTGGATATGACAACAAAGCACAGGTAACAAAAGCAAAAATAGACAAATGGTATGGCATCAAAATAAAAAGTTTCAGCCGGGCGTGGTGGCTCACGCCTGTAATCCTAGCACTCTGGGAGGCTGAGGCGGGCGGACTGCTCGAGGTCAGGAGTTTGAAACCAGCCTGAGCAAGAAGAGCGAGACCCCGTCTCTACTATAAATAGAAAGAAATTAATTGGCCAACTAAGATCCTCTAAATTTTAACAAATATAAAGGGAGAAAGAACATTTATTAAAAGACATTTTTTATTAAAAACTCTCAACAAACTATGTATAGAAGGAATGTACCTTAATATAATAAAGGTCATATATGACAAACTCACAGCTAACATCACACTTCAATAGTGAAAACCAGAGTGCCTTTTCTCTGGGATCAGGGAACAAGACAAGGATTGTCCACTCTCACATGCTACACAGAACTAAATCCTGGCCAGAGCAATTAGGCCAAGAAATTAAATAAAAGGTATTCAGATAGGAAAGGAAGAAGTAAATTGTCTCTTTGCAGATGACATGATTATATATGTATAAAACCATGGAAGACCCCATTAAAAATATGCTAGAGGAGTCCACATGCTCAAGGCTTCTTGGGAGTGGCTCCGGGTCATGGTCCTCAAATTTGGCTCAGAATAAAATCTCTTTAAAATTAAAGAAAAAAAAAAATTAGAAAAAATGAATTTTTTAAATTTCAGGACACAAAATCATACTATAAAATCAGTTGCTTTTCATACACTAGCAATGAACAATCCAAAAAATAAATCGAGAAAATAATATAGTCATGTGTGTCACATGACCCACGATTCAAAAATATATAGTTACACATCATATAGCAAACTTTGTCAAAAATGAACTGTATTATGAAATAGTGGGCTTCATAAGATTACAATGCAGCTGAAAAATTCCTATTGCCTAGTGACACTGTAGCCAATCATAAAGTCACAGTGCAATGTATTACTGGTGTTTTGGTGATACTGGTGTAAACAAATCTAATATGCTCTCAGTAGTATGAAAGTATAGCACATACAATTATGTACAGTACCTAGCACTTCAAATGATAAAATGACTATATTATTAGCTTATGTATTAATATTACTATACTATACTTTTTATCATTATTTTATAGTGTACACCTCTATTTATTTTTTTAAAAAAGTGAACTGTAAAGTACAAACGCTTCAGGCAGGGTCCTTCTGGAGTATTCTAGAAGGCATTCTTACTTATGGCCTAAAGACCTTCCAATAAGGACAAGTGTGGAGGCGGAAGATAGTGATATCATTGATCCAATCCTAAGTATGGGTCAGGGTATGTGTGTTTTGCCTTAGTTTTTAACAAAAAGTTTAAAAAGTAAAAAAAATAAATAAGTAAAATAAATTTTAAGTAGTTAAAAGCTTACACAATAAGGATATAAAGAAAAATATTTTGATCAACACTATACAATGTGTTTGTGTTAAAGATAAGTGTTGTTACAAACATCAAAAGGTAAAACAAATTAAAAGTTTATCCTTAACTTTCATCTACTGTTTAACCAAGACTACACAAACAACAAAAGGCAAAAAGGATTAAACATCATAGCTAACTTTCTAAACTATAAAAAGTTTTCTTACAATGTGCCTTAAAGGAAAAGTATACTTCCCTATTTCCACTGCATGTGTTTTCAAAGCCCAGATATATAGGTGACAATCATTCCAGAGAGTTTCTCACAGTTCTCTTTTGGCTTTTGGGTATACTTTTCAAGATATTTTGAGAGAAATTTGTTAAAAGAAAATTGCAAAATATATGATGTAATGAAAGCTAAAATTTTATTCTCTTCTATTTAACACTGAGACTTGCAGACTTCATTAAAACCCTCTCATAACATGCCGTGGTAATTATTCTTTGCTTCAGGATGATAGGATGGTTCAATAATGTGAACTGAACATTCTAAAACAACTATGACCTAAATAACCAAGAAAAAGATTTTGGGGACATGGTTAGTTTACTCTAAAGCAGTCAAGAAGTCACCACTTACTTATGGCTACTAGCATATGGGCCATCTTGATGTTATCATAAATCCAGCAAGCTCCTTTAATTCCACATTCATTAATATCCCAGAGAACACATGTGCTGTCTATTGTGACACCAAATATAATTGGTCCAGGTATTGTGCCTAAAAGAATATGAGTAAAGATTATGGTTTATAATTACAGATTTCTTCTTTCTTTTTAATAGAGATAAGGTCTCACTATATTACCCAGACTGATCTTAAACTCCTAGCCTCGAGTAATCCTTCCACCTCAGACTCCAAATATGCTGGGATTATAGGTGTGAGCCACCATGCCCAAATTATAATTACAGATTTTTATATACATGGTTACACATATTTTTATATAAATAAAAAAGATATCAATCTGTCCATATGCAAATTAATCAATTCATGTACAAATCAAAGGATAGAAAGCATAAATATTTTTAAATAATCATATGTAATTATTATATATTCTAATAAATTCAAAAAGTATTTTAATAGAATCTCTAACATACATTGGTTTAACATTTAGTTAAGCAAATATTTTAATTCATTGCTTATCTAATACGATGAATGAATGTCCCTTTGAAATCAGCTACTATACTTTTATAAAGTCAAAATAAATTATTCCTGATACATAAATAAGTCTGCTAAACTATAGTGTATGTGTTATGTGCATGTGCATATAAATTAATGTGGGCATGTAGGTGTATGTGTGTATATTCACACACTAACAATCATGTGTGTGCATTAGAGTATATATGTGTATATATATATACAGATATATACTCATATTTAATAAATCATTTTTCATACTAACATACCTAAGAGTATCACTATTTTATACACACATACTCTCATCCCCATGAGACCATGAGGCACTAAACATTCACAAAGTGAAGGAACTTCCAATTGTTCCGAATAACATACATTATTTGAGGTGGCATTCCTTAGACAAAGATTTCAGCTACATCCAGTCTATTTTTTCAGGACCTGTAGCACGACAGAGTCAAAAGAGTACTAGACTGAGAGTTAGGAATCATTTTCCTAGGCTCATTTTCACCATTAATTATGTAACAATGGGCAAAACCCTGTACCTCTCAAGGCATTAATCTACTTATCTAATAAAAAATGGGGAGGTTGGACTAGGTAATCTCTAATATTCCAACTTTTTATTATTGTTTTAATAAATGATGTTAATATTATATTTATTATGTTTCTCTTTTTCTTCTGATTTTTCTTATGTCTGGAACTTTATAAAATTCTCTGGTGTAAATTCTTACTTCCAACAGTTCTTCACTAACCACAATATCTATGCCCCTGAAACATTTTTGACTCATTATTTTTCATTGCTAATGTAACACAATAGTATAGTAAATAGTATAGTAAGAGTATAGTAAATGGAGACCAAAGTAAGGACAAAAAGAATTATGTGTTAATGGCCATATTTTATATTACAAATAAATATGATATCCCTTTTAAGGCTATATTTGCAACAGAACTAGAATCAACAGGCAACCAATCAGGCAGGTGAAATGTAGAGTCATTACATTCTTATGTGATATATAAATAATACTACATCTCAAACATTGGAAAACAGCTTTCTTCAACAACAACTATGTAGTCTTCCACTATAATTATTTTCTTGATATGTACCATAAATGAACAAATCAATAACACTAATGAATCAAAATAGCCCAACAGTTATCAATGATTAAGAAAAATAGCATACCCAATAATCGAAGCAACATAAACTGTATTCCCAATGCTAGAGAACGCTGCCTGTGATTAACACACCTGGAAATATAGATACAAAAGAGACCAAAAGAGGTGATATAGCATATTCACTCTTTGAGCAAGTTCACATTGGCACCAGTTTAGCATTTGTATATTAGAAAAAATTATTGGTAAGAGCATATAACTGGTTTAATCTTCCTTAAATGTTATCTGAACTAAAATATTACAAATAACACCAAAAGAGTCACGAGATCCTCTAAATTTTAACAAATATAAAGGAGAAAGAACATTTATTAAGAAGACATTTTTTATTAAAAACTCTCAATAAACTATGTATAGAAGGAATGTACCTTAATATAATAAAGGTCATATATGACAAACTCACCGCTAACATCACACTCAATAGTGAAAACCAGACTGCCTTTTCTCTGGGATCAGGAACAAGACAAGGATGTCCACTCTCACATCTACACAGAACTATAAATCCTGGCCAGAGCAATTAGGCAAGAAAATTAAATAAAAGGTATTCAGATAGGAAAGGAAGAAGTAAAATTGTCTCTTTGCAGATGACATGATTATATATGTATAAAACCATGAAGACCCCATTAAAAATATGCTAGAGGAGTCCACATGCTCAAGGCTTCTTGGGAGTGGCTCCGGGTCATGGTCCTCAAATTTGGCTCAGAATAAATCTCTTTAAAATTAAAGAAAAAAAAAAGTTAGAAAAAATGAATTTTTTAAAGTTTCAGGACACAAGATCATACTATAAAAATCAGTTGCTTTTCTATACACTAGCAGTGAACAACCCAAAAAATAAATCGAGAAAATAATATACAGTCATGTGTCACATGACCCATGATTCCAAAATATATAGTTACACATTATATAGCAACATTTTGGTCAAAAATGAACTGTATTATGAAATAGTGGCTTCATAAGATTACAATGCAGCTGAAAAATTCCTATTGCCTAGTGACACTGTAGCCATCATAAAGTCACAGTGCAATGTATTACTGGTGTTTTGGTGATACTGGTGTAAACAAATCTAATATGCTCTCAGTAGTATGAAAGTATAGCACATACAATTATGTACAGTACCTAGCACTTCATAATGATAAAATGACTATATTATTAGCTTATGTATTAATATTTACTATACTATACTTTTTATCATTATTTTATAGTGTACACCTCTACTTATTTTTTTTTAAAAAGTGAACTGTAAAACAGCTTCAGGCAGGTCCTTCTGGAGGTATTCTAGAAGGCATTCTTACTTATGGCCCCTAAAGACCTTCCAATAGGACAAGGTGTGGAGGCGGAAGATAGTGATATCATTGATCCCAGTCCTAAGTATGTCAGGTATGTGTGTTTGTGCCTTAGTTTAACAAAAAAGTTTAAAAAGTAAAAAAATAAATAAGTAAAATAAATTTTAAGTAGTTAAAAGCTACACAATAAGGATATAAGAAAAATATTTTTTACAACATACAATGTGTTTGTGTTAAAGTAAGTGTTGTTACAAAACATCAAAAAGGTAAAACAAAATTAAAAGTTTATAAGTTAAAAGTTACGGTAAGCTAAGGTTATTTATTATTGAAGAACAAAAATGTTAAAATAAATTTAATGTAGCTAAAGTATAGTGTAAAGTCTACAGGTACGGTAAGTCCCAGGCCTTCATATTCACTCACCATCCACTCACCAGCTAACCAGAGCAACTTCCAGTCCTGCAAACTCCATTCATGGTAAGTGTCCTATACAGTGTAACCTTTTTTTTTAAATCATTTATACGCTATTTTTACTGTATCTTGTCTATGTTTAGATAGACAAATACTTCCCATTGTGTTAAAATTGCCTCCAGTATTCAGTATAGGAATATGCCGTATAGGTTTGTAGCCTAGGAGCAATAGGCTATACCATGTAGCCTAAGTGTGTAGTAGGCTATAACATCTATGTTTGTGTAAGGAACTCTACGATGTTCGTAGGACAAAATTGCCTAACTATGCATTTTCAGAATGTATCCCTGTCATTAAGCAATATGATATTCTACAAAGCTATAGTAATCACACATTATAAGTTTAGCATAAAACAACATATAGACTAATGGATAATATTTACAGTCAACTGTTCTTCAACAAAGGTGCCAAGAACACATAAGAGGAGAGAGTAATTTCTTCATTAAATGGTGTAAAAAACTGGATAACTACATGCAAAAGAATGAAAGGGCCTTATCTAGACGATTACAAAATCAATTCAAATAAATTAAACTTAAATTATGAATTGAAACTATAAAACTTCTAGAGATATCGGAAAAGCTTCTTGACATTGGTCTGAGCAATAATTTTTTGGATATGACAACAAAGCACAGTAACAAAAGCAAAATAGACAAATGGTATGGCATCAAAATAAAAAGTTTCAGCGGCGTGTGTGCTCAGCCTGTAATCCTAGGCACTCTGGGGAGCTGAGGCGGGCGGCTGCTCGAGGTCAGAGGTTTGAAACCAGCCTGAGCAAGAAGAGGCGAACCCGTCTCTACTATAAATAGAAGAAATTAATTGGCCAACTAATATATATAGAAAAATTAGCCAGGCATGTGGTGCATGCCTGTAGTCCCAGCTACTCGGGAGGCTGAGGCAGTAGATGCTTGAGCCAGGGTTTGAGGTTGCTATGAGCGAGGCTGACGCATGCACGTCACTCTAGCCTGGGCAACAAAGCGTGACTCTTGTCTCAAAAAATAAGTAATAAAATAAAATAAAAATTTCTCCACAGCAAAGGAACCAATTAACGAATGAAGAAACAGCAAAGGAAACAATCAACGAATGAAGAACAACCTAGAGAATGGGAGAAAATATCTGCAACATACATCTGATATGGGTTACTATCCAAATATATCGAAACTCAAACAACTCAATAGCAAAAATAAATTAATTAATAATGGGCAAAAGACTTAAATAGATATTCTCAAAGAAGACATACACATGTCTAAGAAGTATATTGAAAAAAATGCTCAACATCATTAATCATCAGGGAAATGCACATCAAAACCACAATGAGATATCACTCATACCTGTGTTACAAATGGCTGTTATCAAAAAGACAAAAATACAAATGTCAGCAAGAATATGAAGAAAAGCCCTTGTACACTGTTGACTGGAATGTAATTAGTAAGTAATTATGGGAAAAAGCATGGAGATTCCTCAAAAAATTAAAAATAGAATTACCATGTAATCCGCAATCCAATATTGAGTAGATAGCCAAAGGAATGAAATCAGTATATTAAAGAGTTACGTGTAGCCGGTGCGGTGGCTCATGCCTGTAATCTAGCTCTCTGGGAGGCGAGGCGGTGGATCATTTGAGCTCAGGATTTGAGACAACCTGAGCGAAGCGAGACCGTTATACTATAAATAGAAGGAGATCATGGCAACTAATATATATAGAAGAAAATGGTCGGGCATGGTGGCGCATGCCTGTAGTCCCAGCTACTTGGGAGGCTGAGCAGCAGGATTGCTTGAGCCCAGAGTTTGAGGTTGCTGTGAGCTAGCTGACGCACGTGCACTCACTCTAGCCTGGGTAACAAAGTGAGACTCTGTCTCAAAAAAAAAAAAAAAAAGTTACATGCACTCCCACCTTCATTGCAGCATCATTCACAATAGCTACGATATGGATTCAACTTCAGTGTCCATCAACACATGAATGGATCAAGAAAATGTGGGATATAATAATATTATTCAGCCTTAAAAAAGTCCATGTTGCCATTTGTGACAACATGGATGAACCCGGAGGACATTATGCTAAGTGGAATAAACCAAGTACACAGAAAGATAAGTACTTCATAATCTCATGCATATGTGAATTCTAAAAAAATCAAATTTATAGAGTAGAGAGTGGAATGGTGGTTGCCAGGAGCCTGAGATGGGGAAATGGGGTGATGGTCAAAGGGTACAAAGTTCCACTTGTGCAAGGTGAATAAGTCCTGGAGCTCTAATGTACAGCATGGCAACTGTAGTTAATAATCCTGTATTGTACACTTCAAATTTGCTAAGAGAACAGATTTTAAATGTTCTTACCACACACATACACAAATGACAACCACGTGAGGCAATGGATATGTGTATTAGCTTGATTGTAGTTATTATTTCACAATGTATATGTATATCAAAACATTACATTCTATATTTTAGATATATATAATTTTCATTTGCCAATTATACCTGAAAAAACAAGGTATATTTGCCAATAAATCTGAAACAATATTTTAAAAAATAAAACTAGCATTTTTACAAAAAAATATTTATTTTTGGCTATCACTATTCACTTAAGCTGCAAGCACATAATTCTTACTCTAACTCTTACTAACTTTGAAACTAGACTCATAGCTATGGGATAATGGTACAGATTTGAGGCAATGCAAAGTAGTTGCTGAAGCTCAATCTGATTCAACAATGATACTTTAGGTAATGACTGTCCAAGATGAAAGAGACATGTGATTGGTGCACAGGAGAGTCATATGAGAGATAAAAGAGATGAGCTGAAAAGAAATAAGTAGTCGAAAGGTGATTTATGTGATTTTTAAATGAATTTTTAAAAAGCATTTTCTCTCTTCTCTGAATAACTTCAATTTCTGTGCAGTATAATTTTAACGATTTAATGTTTTTAGAAAGAATTTCTAAATTTTCCATCCATCAAAAAATACATGAAAATGTAGTAAGTGAATTATTAAGGAACAAAAACTTGAGAAGGGAAATTTGATTCCTTCCCATCTGGAGCAGCTGTTGTTTCTTGCCTGGAAAAAGCTAGAGTTTGTTAGGAAAAATATAGAAAGACTAATGAGTCTATGGCAGGGCAAGTAGAAAGTATTTTGTAAAGTGATGTTGAAGGAGGAAGATCAAATGAAAGCTCAAAACACAGGCAGACAGTCAGGTGACAGCCAGCTTAGTAGCTGTAAAGACATAGTCCTGTTTACAGGAAGATGTAATATCACAGCACCTAATGTATAAGGTAGAATGCATGTCATTCTGATTCTGGCACATGTGCAGGACATTTTATTCCTGTGATACTCAAAATTGAAAATATCTCTAGCTCACCACTGAAGCTTCATGTAAGAAGCAGAGAACTAACACCAAATACATGCCAGGTAGGCAATGTTAAGACACTTTTGCATACGTAATCTCATTTAAATCTCATACATCTGGGATTCTAGGGGTAGCTTATCCAATGCCGCAGACCTGATGATCCTGGAAGAACTGAATTGATACTGGAACCAATAACATAAATTCCAAATGAGTCCAAGTCCATTTTCTTTCTATTCAACATATTGCCATAGGAAATGCAAACTTTACGACATAATACGTACCTTAGGATGGACACAGTTATAGGAGTACCAGCCATAAAGGTAAAAATAACTGTAACAAAGAAAATGCCAAGAAATATGGGCAAGTTTGCACATCGAGTTTCACACTTTCCAGCTTCAGCTTCAAAACCAAAACTTTCTGCAGTGGGTGTTATATCTGCTTTCCTCCCAATACAGGAACAATTATAATATATCTAGAAATATTAGACATAAAAATAATGAAAATGCTTATTTTGAAAATAGATCATTTTAAATTGGGTGATCTCTAGACATGGCAAACACTCTCACACTGTCTTAATCCATACATAACAAATTATGCTGAGAAAGAGTAATTAACAATTAAGAAACTAAGCAACTGGAAACAAACTATATTTATGAAGCAGAATCATCTGTATTTGCTTTTGCAGCCGTTACTTTAACTTGTAACAGATTACTGACTCATGACTTATGCAACAATTTAATGAGAATATAATGGTTACCTGATCTCACACATTCTAGACTACTTTGAATAGACAAAAATTGCTTAAATAATGTTTTCCTGAAAACTTTCTTCTTTTCTGTTATGGAAGGCAAAGGGACATCTATATTGACAATCTCATTATCTGCATGAGCCTGAAAAAACAAACCCTATAATCTTGACAAGTGCCACAGTAAAATGAACTAGTCTGTACCAAAACTTTGAAAAAAAATGCTGCTTTTTGTTTTGTTTTGGGATTTTTGGTGTTGTTTAATTTCAAAGTATTAAGTGGATATAAGTTTTTAGTTACATGGTTCGTTTTTTTAAAGCTTGAGTCACAGCCGTGTGTCCATCAGCCAAATAGTGTTCGTTGTACCCATTAAGTAGGTTTTTGCCCATCACCTCCTCTCTCCTCCCCTTGCTTGATTTCCACTAAGTTTTACATTCTTCTGTGCACATTTGTGCTCACTGGTGGTAATTTCATTATTCCAAAGGCCAGAAACTTTTTTTGGTGCTAAAGCAATTCTAGGACCACTGGCACTGAATCAGGAAAGCTGAATATACAGATGACATCTCCAAAATTGACTATTATGTACTCAACAATCAGACATATTACATAATGAAGCAATTAAGCCTTTAATTGATTTGGGTATTTTTAAATGTATCCAAGGCACATCAAATAAAATATTAAGTTTCCATTATATACACTGTACATAGTGAAAATAAGTGAAGTTCTTTGCCTTCGAGGATCTTAAAGTACAGTTAAGGAAAAATACAGTTGATCCTTGAACAACATGGGTTTGAACTGCCTGGGCCCACTTAATACACAGCTTTGCAGCATGTGAAACCTGCCTGTATGGAGGGCCAACTTTTAATATATTGGGTTGTAGACTGTGGGTTCTGCAAGGCCAACTGCAAGACTTGAGTATGGGGGATTTTTGGTATGGGCAGGAGTTCTGGAACTAATTCCCCGTGTGTATCAAGGGATGACTATAAAACAATGTAAAAAGGTAAATGATATTTCACTACTGCAACGGAAGTGATGTTACTAAGATGTATGTGAGCAACTACCAAATTGACTTTTTAAACAATAATTACGTGGGGTGTGAAGGAAGAAGATTCTTTTTCAGCTGGAGAGGTCAGGGGCTGCTTAATGGAAGAGGTGAGGCAGGAAGGAAAGAAAAAAAGGCATTGCACAACTCCAGAAGAGGGATCAAGGTGGGCATTCATAAATATATAAATACATTGCCTCATTAAGAATAAAGCAGCAGACATAAGTTACCTTTGGTTTCCTTTTTTTAGCTGAGTTTAAACAACCTGCAAAGCAGGGAGAAAAATATTGGACTCCATCTCCTCCACAGACAGGATAATAGTACGAGCGCAAACAGTTGCAATTGGCATTACAAGGGGCTGTCAAGTTTCCCAGTTCTCCTGTCCTGTAAATAAGAAATGAAAGAAGTGTAAATTATCTATGTCATAACTTGTAATGAACCATTCCAGAGCATTGCTATATTTTGCCATTCAGTCATTTATTCACTCACTGAGCACAAAATTCCTGAATGAATAAAACAAATAAAATTTCTGCCTTTGCACATAAAGCTTAAGTTTTTATAGAGGAGAGGCAGTAAAAACAAGAGTTATATAATATAATGTCTGTCAGTGATAAGATAAGGCATATAGCACTCTGGGAGGCCAAGGCGGGCGGATTGCTCGAGGTCAGGAGTTTGAAACCAGCCTGAGCAAGAACCAGACCCCATCTCTACTATAATTATAAAGAAATTAATTGGCCAACTAATACACATAGAAAAAATGAGCCGGGCATGGTGGCGCATGCCTGTAGTCCCAGCTACTCGGGAGGCTGAGGCAGCAGGATTGCTTGAGCCCATGAGTTTGAGGTTGCTGTGAGCTAGGCTGACGTCACAGCACTCACTCTAGCCTGAGCAACAAAGTGAGATTCTGTCTCAAAAAAAAAGAAAGATAAGGCAGAGTAAGTGAAGAAAGCAGGGTTTCCCATTCGATGCCAGATAATTCTCTCTTGTGGGGAGCTGGTTCTGTGGATTGTAGGACGTTTAGCAGCCTCCCTGGCCTCCACCCACCAGACACCAGTACTAATCTCCTTAATTATGGCAACCACAATCTCTCAAGATGTTACCAAATATCTCCTGGTGGCAGGCAATATTTTAAACCTGGAAGGATGAATAGAATCATGTTGTTCAATACACTCATATTATCAATGGGAAAACTGAGGCTGAGAGAGATTAAGTTATTTTCTTTCCCTGCCAAATACAGCTTTCCTTGTCCCCAGGTCCAATGTTGTCTCATGTTGCCTCTTAAGAGGAAACATCTTTCCTAATACAAAGATGCTTCCCTAACCCCTCATTTATTCATTCAGTCAAACAATATATATTGAGCAAGTGCTAGGTCCTTCATATGTAACAGAAATACAAAGTAAGATAGCCACTGTCCTCAGACTTCACAAAGTAAAATAGTCTCTGTCCTCAGACTTCTACTTCACTAGAAGGAGAGATGAACACAGATAATTATACACTAATATGCTAAGTGTGGTTACAGATGTGTGCAAAATGCATTTTAGAAGCACCAAAGGCATAGAGCTGAGAAGCAGCATCCTCTTTGGAGAAATATGAATGATGTCTAAGGCAGAGAGTGGTAAAGAATGGAGCTGGAGAGACAGGAACTAGATTAATGAGGGTCTCATGGGTCTCGTTAAAAACTATGAATTTTAACCTATTGACAAAAGGTAATCATTAAAGTACTTTTAGACTGCAAAGTGACATTGTCAGAAGTCACTTTTAAAGAAATAATCCTAGGAGTTGTAAAGAGTCTGAATTTAAAGAAAGAGGACCTGTTCCAATACTCCAGACAATAGGTGATCACAATATAAAGGAGAACTAAAATAGAACATGTATATGAGTACGATTACAGGAAATAGAATGAAGAAAAATTCTTGATGTAGAATTGGTAAAATCTGGTGATTGACTGATCGAAGATGACTCTCTCTGTTAAGAATGGAAGTGTCAAGGGTAACTCCTACTGTCTAACTTGGTGTTTAGGAGAGAAGGTGAGCCAATTTTGGACAAGAGATGATGAATATGGACTTACACATACTGAGATTAAGAATCTCAAATTTGGTGAAGCGATTTGGCTTGTAGCTAGATATCTCAATATCATTTGCATATAGATGTAGCTGAAACTATCGGTGTTTATAAGATCAGCCATACAGAGTATAGAGGGAGAAGAGTACAGAAGTCCTGGGAGTCCACTTATTTAATGAATACCTAGTGGACTCCAATTATGTGCCAACTCAAAGGGCTGGAAAAATATCTAAAAGAAAGAGCTAGAGATGAGAAAGAGGGGGGTAGACAAAGAGACTGACAGATGGAAGGAAGGAAGGAAAAACAACCCCTGCCATCATGAAACTAACTTTCCTGCAACAATGGTCAAACAAAGCAAATGAGTTGATTTATTTAAGTATTTGAAGATAATCATTGCTATGTTGGAAAATGATGATATTTAAGTAGTAGGTGGAAAACAAGAAGTTCATGAAGGAAATAGATTAAAGAGCAAGAAAACAAGCCGGGCGCGGTGGCTCACGCCTGTAATCCTAGCACTCTGGGAGGCTGAGGCGGGCGGATTGCTCGAGGTCAGGAGTTCGAAACCAGCCTGAGCAAGAGCGAGACCCCGTCTCTACTATAAATAGAAAGAAATTAATTGGCCAACTAATATATATATAAAATTAGCCAGGCATGGTGGCACATGCCTGTAGTCCCAGCTACTCGGGAGGCTGAGGCAGCAGGATTGCTTGAGCCCAGGAGTTTGAGGTTGCTGTGAGCTAGGCTGACGCCACGGCACTCACTCTAACCTGGGCAACAAGCGAGACTCTGTCTCAAAAAAAAAAAAAGAGCAAGAAAACAAACTAGAAACAAATCAGTAGAAAGTTTGAAGGAAAAGGTGACAAAGAGTAAAACTGAAGTAAACTATTCCCAGATTTATCTTTATCAGGCATGACTGTCTTCACAAAGAGTTTTCCCAGATTTATCTTTATCAAGCATGACTGTCTTCACAAAGAGTTTATAACATAGATGTAGAAGTAATAAGGTAACTAGAGAAAAACTTTCCCTGCAACTCTAGAAATAGCCTTTATACAATAATTTTTAAATTTAAATTTCCAATGTGTAATTTTCATATAATTTATAAATAATTACTGAGAACATACAAAGAGTAAGGCAGCATGATGCAAACTACAGTAGAAACAAAGAAATATAGCATATATTCCTTATCATCAAGGGTTGGTCACTTTAGCCTGTATATTATATAAAGGTTTATTTCATGATGTAAGTGGGAAACATTTATAGGAAAATAACAAATGCTTGTGAAGTTGATTAAATTTTCTTAATACGTACATATTATTTTAATCATATTTCATATATTTTACATCATAAAATTTTTAATAGTTTAAGAATATATACCTGTATACATGCTTGTCACTAGTAGAATTTAAACATTACTTTTTTTCTTAAATCCAAACAAATATTCTGTCTCTATAAGTTATAATCAAATATTATGCCTCTATAATAGGCTAAAATTTCCCCTAAAACTATTGCAAAATATTAATAGATATGCCCCTATATGGTACTATTTCATATAATCAATGATATTCTAGCTACAGGCTGACACAGAAAAAATATTGCATATACTTACTATGGTATTTCATATTTTATGAGGTCGTAAGTAGTAAGTGAAATGCAAATCACCATTACCACAACTGTTTACCAAGATAAGACTCAAAGATTCTATAGATGACTAAGGGAGTATAAAAAATTAGAGAATTTTAAAAACTAATAAGTTTCTAAAAATAAACTAAGATAATCTCCATTCAGTTGAATTTAGTGTTGAGCCCAATTAATTATTTAGTAATAAATTTAAAATATTATTGAAAAAAGTCCCTGAAATAATCAATATTATTCATCTTAAGATTTTTGGATATACTGTTAAACAGGGCTTTAAATGAACTTACCAACAAGTCTAATCCATGAATTCAGAGCTGCCAAATCTCTTTTTAACCCATCTATCCTTATGTGGCAAAGGGCAAAAATTCTTTGCAACACTCTATTAGAAACCCTACACCCTCACAAACTCTTCTTCCTCCCATTCCTAAAAAAGGTATTTCTTGAGGTCCATCTTTCAATAGTCTATTCTTTCAATATATAGGCATATGTCATTTTATTTCACTTTGCTTTATTGCATTTTGCAAATATTGCAGTTTTTACAAATTGAAGGTTCATGGTAAACTGGGTCAAGCAAGTCTGTCAGTGCCATTTTTCCAACAGCCTGTGCTCATTTCATGTCTCTGTGTCACCATTTTGACAATTCTTGCAATATTTCATAGTTTTGTATTATCATATCAATTATGGTGATCTGAGATCACTGATCTTTGATGTTACTATTAAAATTGCTTTGGTGTGCCCCAAACCATGCCCCTATGAGATGGCAAGTTTAATCAATAAATGATGTGTGTGTTCTGATTATTCCATCAAATGGCCATTCCCTTGTCTCACTCTCTCTCTCTCTCTCTTCAGGTCAACAATATTGAAATTAAACCAACTAATAACCACACAATGGCCTCTAAGTCTTCAAGTGAAAGGAAGAATTGCACATTTGTCACTTTAAATCAAAAACTAGAAATGATTAAGCTTAGTGAGGAAGGCATGATGAAAGGAAAGATGGGCCAAAAGCTAGGCCTCCTGTGCCAAATTGTTAGTCAAGTTGCGAATGCAAAATAAAAGTTCTTGAAAGAAGTTGAAAGTTCTGTTGCAGTGAACACACAAATTATAAGAAAGCAAAACACCCTTATTGCTGATGTGGAGAAAGTTTGAATGGTTTATACAGAAGATCAAAGCAACCACAACATTCCCTTCAGCCAAAGCCCAATCCAGAGCAAGGCTCTAGCTCTCTTCATTTCTATGCAGCCTGAGAGAAAGAGAGGTGAGGAAGCTTCAGAAGAAAAGTTTGAGGCTGGCAGAGGTTGATTCATGACATTTAAGGAAAGAAGCCATCACCAAACATAAAAGTATAAGGTGAAGCAGTAAGTGTTGATGTAGAAGTTGCAGCAAGTTATTCAAAAGATCTCACTAAGATAATTGATGTAGCTAAGTACACTAAACAGTAGGTTTTGAAAGTAGACAAAAAAGCCTTCTATTGGAAAAAGATGCCATCTAGGACTTTCATAGCTAGAGAAGACATCAACACTTGGCTTCAAAGCTTCAAAAGACAGGCTGACAACCTTATTAGGGAACAATGCACTTGGTGACTTGAAGTCGAAGCCAATGTCCATTCACCATTTCAAAAATCCTAGAGCTTTGAAGAATTATGCTAAATCTATTCTGCCTGTGCTCTAGAAATGGAGCAACAAAGCCTG